CATGCCGAGCTGGCACCAGCGCCCCTCTAGCTAGCGGAGAGTCAGTTGCCACGCCCGGCCGGGCCCCTCAACCAGTCCTCGGTTTTATGCTGGTTTATTGTACCAATAAAAAGTTGACATACAGAGTTTAAAATGATAAGTGTGTGCCCCGTATTGGCGGTGCAGTAGAGGGTTGATACAGAGGTTTTAAATTCAAATAAGTGCAAATAATTTCAAGTAAGTTCAAATAATCGCAAGGAATAAGTGGGGGACTAATGCTGCCCACGTAAGAAAGCGCAATGGGGGGACTGACGCTACCCCATGCTTCGGCGACAGTTCGCTCGCTGGCTGGCTGCGGCGCTACTCCGCGCCGGGCGGCGGGAGAGGCCGAGCCGGGCACGCACACCGGCGATACCCCGCGCTGGCAGAGCGCGCTACTCCCCGCCACTGGCGTGTGCACAGGGCCAGGCCCGACACACAAGTGGGGGAATGATCCCGGACCCTGTAACACAACACCAAGGCATTAGTGGAGAGCAAAAAACAGTTCACAGAAAAGAACAAAATGATGAGCAAAGAAAAGGTTGGACACTCATCTTAAAAAGTTCACCAGTTCTGTGAGCAGTTTGTAAAGCTTTCTTGTTCCCCCTCGGCCGCGCGGCTTGTTGCTGCTGGTGGTCTTGTCGGCTGCTCGCTGAGGCTTCGGAGCAGGAGGGGGAGGGCGGGGGCGCGCAGGGCAGCCCCGTGATGATGCAGCATGTTGGCCCCTACAGTGGACGCACATCCGGACATTCCTGCATACACATTCAGAAGTTCTATGAGTTCCAGCACAGAGCCGACACCGCACCTTATTCTTACACTCGGATGACTTGTGAGAGCCCCACTCCTGGCACGCAAAGCACTGGATGGGGCGGGCGGTCTTGGCTGTCGGCTGCTGCGCCGGTGGCTTCTGCTTCTTCTGCGGCGGCTGTTTGGCTCGGCGCGCAGGGGACCGGGCGGGGGGCCCGGCTGGTGGTACGGTGGGGTGAGGGGGGGCGTCGGGCTTGGTCCGCTTGGGGGCCGACAGTAGGGCTGTGCGGTATTGAAATATCAGTACCGAACTTCGATATTTAAAAAATACCGAAACTTGTCGGTTTCGGTTATCGATACCGTACCGAAAATACCGAAATACCGAAATATCGTAATACCGAAATACCGAAGTATCGAAATTTCGACAATAGAGAAGCTAACGAGGAAGTGAAACAATTCGGGCACTTTGAAAACAGCGCGCGATGCCATGTCTGCCGCCTGACATGCCAGCAACACCAGCAGCTCCATCTAGTGTCGTAGTAGGCGCGTAGAGCGGGAAAAGAACGGTAGGAGAGACTGGGAGGGGCGGACATGTAAAAGTAAAGGTTTGAGGGGGCGCGCGCACCCACTCTGAGTACCAA